TTGATGCTGGATTGTTACGTATTGCTATGGTGTTTTATCGAGCAGTCGTGGCCGAGTGGTCAAGGCGATGGACTCGAAATCCATTGGGGTTTCCCGCGTAGTTCGAATCCTACCGCTGCTTCTCTCTATTTTCTCATATACACAGAGGATATATTTTGTAAAGAACTGTCCCCGTTTATCACTAGGTAATTATTGCTGTTTTCCGAGCAGTCGTGGCCGATGTTGGAGCGATGGACTCGAAATCCATTGGGTTTCCCCGCGTAGTTCGAATCCTACCGGCTGCGTTCTCTATTTTCTCATATACACAGAGGAAATATTTTTTATTAAAAGAACTGTCCCCGTTTATCACTAAGGTAATTAATGGTGTTTACCGAGCAGTCGTGGCCGAGTGGTTAAGGCGATGGACTCGAAATCCATTGGGGTTTCCCCGCGTAGTTCGAATCCTACCGCTGCGTTCTCTCTTTCTATATACACAGAGGATATATTTTATTGAAAAAGAACTGTCCCCGTTTATCACTAAGGTAATTATGTTGTTTTCCGAGCCGTGGCCAGTGGTTAAGGCGATGGACTCGAAATCCATTGGTTTCCCGCGTAGTTGAATCTCCGGCTGCGTTCTCTCTTTTTCTCATATACACAGAGGATAATTTTAATTGTAAAAGAACTGTCCGTTATCACTAAGGTAATTAATGCTGTTTTACCGAGCAGTCGTGGCCGAGTGGTTAAGGCGTGGACTCGAAATCCATTGGGGTTTCCCGCGTAGGTTCGAATCCTACCGGCTGCGTTCTCTCTATTTTCTCATATACACAGAGGATATATTTTAATTGTAAAGAACTGTCCCCGTTTATCACTAAGGTATTTGTTTGTTTTACCGAGCGTCGTGGCCGAGTGGTTAAGGCGATGGACTCGAAATCCATTGGGTTTTCCCCGTGTGAGTTCGAATCCTACCGGCTGCGTCTCTCTATTTTCTCATATACCAGAGGATATATTTTAATTGTAAAAGAACTGTCCCCGTTTATCACTAAGGTAATTATTGCTGTTTTACCGAGCAGTCTGGCCAGTGGTTAAGCGATGGACTCGAAATCCATTGGGTTTCCCGCGTAGGTTCGAATCTACCGGCTGCGTTCTCTCTATTTTCTCCCACGAGGATATATTTTGTAAGAAGAACTGTCCCCGTTTATCACTAAGGTAATTTGCTGTTTTACCGAGCAGTCGTGGCCGAGTGGTTGGCGATGGACTCGAAATCCATTGGGCGCGTAGGTTCGAATCCTACCGGCTGCGTTCTCTATTTTCCATATACACGGAGATATATTTTATATGAAAAGAACTGTCCCCGTTTATCTAGGTAATAATGCGTGTTTACCGAGCAGTCGTGGCCAGTGGAAGGCGATGGACTCGAAATCCATTGGGGTTTCCCGCGTAGGTTCGAATCCTACCGGCTGCGTTCTCTCTATTTTCTCATATACACAGAGGATATATTTTTGAAAAGAACTGTCCCCTTTTATCACTAAGGAAATTTGCTGTTTTACCGAGCAGTCGTGGCCGAGTGGTTAAGGCGATGGACTCGAAATCCATTGGGGTTTCCCGCGTAGGTTCGAATCGTACCGGCTGCGTTCTCTATTTTCTCATATACACAGAGGATATTAATTGTAAAGAACTGTCCCCGAATCACTAAGGTAATTATTGCTTTCTGAGCAGTCTGGCCAGTGGTTAAGGCGATGGACTCGAAATCCATTGGGGTTTCCCGCGTAGGTTCGAATCCTACCGGCTGCGTTCTCTATTTTCTCATATACACAGAGGATATATTTTAATTGTAAAGAACTGTCCCCGTTATCACTAAGGTAATTAATGCTGTTTTACCGAGCAGTCGTGGCCGAGTGGTTAGGCGATGGACTCGAAATCCATTGGGGTTTCCCCGCGTAGGTTCGAATTCTACCGGCTGCGTTCTCTCTATTTTCTCATATACACAGAGGATATATTTTAATTGTAAAAGAACTGTCCCCGTTTATCACTAAGGTAATTATTGCTGCTTTACCGAGCAGTCGTGGCCGAGTGGTTAAGGCTATGGACTCGAAATCCATTGGGGTTTTCTTGCGTAGGTTCGAATCCTATAGTCTGCGTTTTCTGTATTTTCTAATATACACAGAGAAGATATTTTAATTATAAAAGGAATGTCCCGTTTATTACAAAGGTAATTAATGCTTTTTCACCGAACAGTCGTCTCGCAGTGGTTAAGGCTATGGACACGAAATCCATTGGGGTTTATTTGCATAGGTTCGAATCCTAAAGGCTGCGTTCTCTCTATTTTCTCATGTACACAAAGAATATATTTTAATTGTAAAAGAAATGTCCCCGTTTATTAGAAAGGTAATAAATGCTGTTTCAACAAGTAGTCTCGGGCAGTGGTCAAAGCTATGGAATCGAAATCCATTGGGGTTTCCCCTCGTAGGTTCGAATCCTAAAGGCTGCATTCGCTCTATTTTCTCATGCACAGAGAGACGATGATTTAATTGTAAAAGAATTCTTCCCGTTTACTAAAAAGTTCTTTAATGACGTTTTTCGGGACAGTCATGGCCGAGTGGTTAAGGCGATGGACTCGTTATCCATTGGGGTTTCCCGCGTGATTTTGAATCCTACCGGCTGCGTTCTTTCTATTTTGAAATATACAGAAATGAGAAATTTTAATTGTAAAACAAATGTCCCCGTTTAACACAAAGGTAATTAATGCTTATTCACCGAGCAGTCGTGGCCGAGTGGTTAAGGCGATGGTCACGAAATCCATTGTCATTTCCCCGTATAGGTTCGAATACTACCGGCTTCGTTCTCTCTATTTTCTCATATGCACAGAGGAGAAAATTTAATTGTAAAAGAAATGTCCCCGTTTATTACAAAGGTAATTAAAGCTGTTTCATCGAGCAGTTTTGGCGCAGTGGTTAAGGCTATGGACTCGAAATCCATTGGGGTTTCTCCTCGTAGGTTCGAATCCTGAAGGCTGCGTTCTCTCTAATTTCTCATCCACAGAGAGGCGATATTTTAATTTTAAAAGAATTTTCCCCGTTTATGACAAAGGTCATTAATGTCGGTTCTCGGAGCAGTCGTGGCCGAGTGGTTAAGGTGATGGACTTGAAATCCATTTTGGTTTTTCCAGCGTAAGTTCGAATCCTACCGGCTGCGACCTCTTTATTTTCTCATATACAGAGAGGAGATATTTTAATTGTAAAACAAATGGCCCCTTTTATCACAAAGGTAATTAATACTGTTACCCCGAGCAGACGTGGCCGAGTGGTGAAGGCGATGGACTCGCAATCCATTGGGGGTATCAAAGCGTAGTTTCGAATCCTTCCGCCTGCGTTCTCTCTATTTTCTCATATACAAAGAGTATATATTTTAATTGTAAAAGAATTGTCCCTTTTTATTAGAAAGGCAATTATTTCAGTTTCGCCGAGCAGTCGTGGCCGAGTGGTTAAGGCGATTTACTCGAAGTCCTTTGGGGGTTTCTTGCGTGGGTTCGAGTCCTAATCGCTGCGTTCTCTATTTTCTCATATACCGAGAGGAGATGTTTTAATTGTAAAAGAATTGTAACCTTTATCATAAAGTTAATTAATGCTGTTTCCCCGAGTGGTTAAGGCAATGGACTCGAAATCCATTTGGGTTTCCCCGCGTAGGTTCGAATCTTGCCTGCTGAGTTCTTTCTGGTTTCTCATATGGAGAGAGGAGATATTTTAATTGTAAAATAATTGTCCTCGTGAATCTTACCTCATACCTCGAATACTTCTCATTCCATATGATAGTAATATGCCTTTTCAATTCAAGCGTAAACAATTACCCATTAGATTAGTCTTTTCAATGACCATAAATAAATCCCAGGGACAAACGTTTGATAAAATTTGTTTAGATCTAACCAAGCCAGTTTTTAGCCATGGACAGTTGTATGTGGCTCTTTCTAGAGTAAGATGCTTTGATTCTGTCATTGTCGTGTCGCTGAACTCTGAAATTTACAATTGTGTATATAGGGATGTTTTGTGATTATTCAAGATAGTACTCTTTTATGATACTATTGGTGTGTACTATTTACTCTGTGTAAATATAGAAATTTCTGTGTGTAACGTGTATATATAGAGAGATTAGATTTTTTTGCCACTGTGTTTGTACAGACTATTTTATTCCAGATATATTTTCACTGTAAGTGAATTTACTTCATGCTGCTTATGGTGAATGATAATGTTGCATACTTTTTGCAATGTGTAAATATAATTAAAAATGGAACCACAGAACCAATATTACTTTAGTGGGGTTCTCGGATAATGATTAAGTTTTCATACTGTTTGCAACGTGTAAATATATAGATATTTTTTTGTGCACCGTGTTTGTACAGACTATTTTATACCAGATATATTTTCACTGTAAGTGAATTTACTTCATGCTGCTTTTGGTGAATGATAATTGTAAGGATTCGAATCATTTACCATTGGGCCACCGAGGCGTCTATGAATTTGAACCTATTATTTGTAAATGGTTTTTGTGGCAACATGTTGTAATTCCATACTATTTAAGGGTTTTTTTATTATAAAATTTCAGTAGATGCATTGATAGCGTTGGTAATTGTTGTGTTTTTGCAGTCCTTATTTAGTTGGTATATTCGATTGGTGAATTAGGTCCTTTTAGAGTAAGAGGAAACATAACACGGGGTTAAGGAAACCTGACTGGCGTAGTCGACAGGATTACTAACGCCATCAATCTACTCGAGGCTCCATGTTGGTTTAGTTTATCTCTCTCTGCAGTATAAAGTTTTAATATTGGAACATAGTGTCGATGAATAACTAGAACTTAATTTAGTAATAACGATAGAGTAGGAGTATTGTTATGTTAATTGAAGAATATTTATGTCGGTGTAATTATTTAAAACCAGGACGAGTTATTGAATAATGTGCATCATTGTAGATAATTAGAAACGAAGGTATTTTTGTTGAATGATATTGTGTATATCAGTACAGATAAATGAGGATCAGAGTGGTTGGTAAATAATATTGTGCATTATTTTAGATATTCGAAACGAAAGTACCGTTTTTAATTGTCTTCTTTTTACTGTATTCGATTTCTGAGAGATTTTTTGTATATTTTTGCTACTTATTTTTTTAATTAGCGTTTATTGTAATCTAAGTATTACTGTGATTTTAGAATAGTATATCAAGGATCTGAGGGAGTTGGTTTTTAATTTAAAGTGCATAGTAATTATCTAAAACACAGAAGTTACTTGGGTTGTTTGATATTGAAATTGCACGCATATGTGTTGTCCTTGTAGAGTTTGATCAAATTGTGTGGTTATTATCAAGCGAGAAATATATGAATAATTACTACCTTCCGATATTCTGATAAGCTTTGTAGTAAATATTGTAATATAGAATACGTGGGTTATACGTGCACGGCGAGTGCCCCCCTCCTTCCTTATTTTGCTTCTCGTTAGGTCTTTCTTGATTCGGAAATTTAGGCCTTTTGTAGTGTTGAAAAAAAATATATTCCTTCATTGCGCCATTTTTTGTCTCCGAGAAAAAGCTTACAGAAAGTTGATCTTTCCCACACTGGGTTTTTCTGCGAATTTGCGGGGGGGGGGTGTTTGACCCCTTTGCGGGTTCCGTTGGAGGCTTGGAGAAAATTCTCGAAGAGTAAAGACCCGGCTGTGGTTTTTGACCAATGGTTTTTCACTTTGGGGCCTTCGGAAAAGAAATTTTGGGTTGCTAGGGCGATTCGAGGCGGACGGAGACGAAGTCATCAAGATGTAAGATGGTGTGAAAAGAGTAAAATTTCGAGCAGGAGCCTTCGGGCTTACAACCGCCGGTGTGGAGAGGCAACGCCATGGCAGGTATCTGTATCTGTGTCGACAGGAAATTATTAATTTTACTGATAATCCCGACATGGATTTAAAAAAAATCTGTGGCCAAAAAAATTAAGATTATGTCAAGATGTTCAAGAGTCAAATAGGGCGAGCATGACATATTGCAATGCCAATAATATTTTTGTACAGCAGTCAATTTAATAGATATTAGGGCCACCGAACCGGATCACTCAGGGTGATTTCCCTGAAGTAAATTTAAATTTCCGATTATGATTTTTGAGGAAGCAGAGTGGTGACGTAAAAAGCGGTGCGTTACTTAATTGTGATCCCAATTATTCAGTTAATAAATAGGGATGCAAATGCAAGGAAATCTTCTGCGTGAAGTGATTATTTGTTGGAAGAGAAATGTCCAAGAGTATATGTTTTTTTTGTTGTAAGGGTAAAAGTAATTGTCTTTTTTTATTATTGATGAATTATTTTGGTGTGTTGAATTATTTTCTGCATTAAATGATATGTGGTAGCAGGTGTGATGAATTATTTTCTGTGTTGCGTGGCATGTGGTAACAAAAATGATTTTTATATGTGTGTGACTGTGCAATGAGCACAAATACATCATTGCCATGCTGCAATAGTGATTTTATTAATTGTTTATTTGTAGTCAAGATGTTTGCGATATTGCGTATTATTCAGCAAATGGCTCACATTAAGCTGTTTAATCAATTTCATTTATAATTCTCTCTATTCTGTATAATAATGATAGCTATCTATAAAAAAATGACTGATTGATGTATCTCTTAAAAATGTCTGTTTGAAGTATGTCTGAAAAATAGTGTCTGACTGATGTGTCACTTAAAAATATATGATTGAAGTATATCTTGCAAATGACTGATGTATCTCTTAAAATTGATTGATGTTTGTCATGCTGACAGAGCTTCCTTAAGGCATGGCCTGGATGTAACTCTGGGTTATTAATAAGACACAACGCGCAAAGATTATTATTAATATTTGACTTCAGAAGTCTGGCATTCTTTATGTATGATAAAAATAAAATATAAAAATACATAGAAATTTTCAATACGACACTTTGCGGATACCAAAATGTCATTTTTAAAACGGGCAAGAAAGGAAGATTTAATATCCTTAGCTACGGACTTGGGAGAAAATCGGCTCCCACTTTCTCAAAGGTTGATTTAGTCGGTTTGATTCAGGGAAATGAGCACTACAATGAGGATGATGCAAAACTTATGTTAGAGACTGTAGTTGCGGAAAGGGAGGAACGATTAAAAATGGAGGCAGAAAAGGAAAAAATGAAGATGGAATTCGAGTTAGAGAGGTTGCGGATGACATCCGATGGCTCTAAAAACCCGAAGCACGAGAAGCCCTCGTGTTACGAGTTGACTAAAACTGTACCAAGTTTTGATTCAAAGAATGGAGACATAACGCTGTTTCTATCGTTGTTCAAAAGACAGCGATAAGAGCCCAAATCGACACGAAGGACTGGGTCTCCGGACTACTTATGCTGTTGCCGTCTGACATAGTTCAATTCATTGCAAGGGAATTTGAAGAGAACTTTGATAATTATAACTATATAAAAAGAGCACTGCTAAAAAGATTCAAATTGAGCCCAGAAGAATTCGGAGAAATCCTGGCGAGAATTTACTTTTGAAATTTCGAATTATTTTCAAGAATGGATCGAGGAACTGAAAATTGACAGTGCTGAGAAACTGAAAAACTTGATAATTACTGATCAGATATAGAGGCGGGCCCCTTTCGAGGCAAAAGATCACTTCTTGGATGAATGGACGAGATTGGTGTCTCCATCAGAACTTGCTGACAAATTAGATGAGTATGAGCTTGTGCGCTCTGATCGCAAATACGAAACAAAACGGAAGCAGCAGTTCAACCCGATAGAAAAGCATACCGAAAGTAACCAGAGGACAGTTAGGCACAAACCATTCACTGGGACTTGGAATGCACGGAATATGGGTTATCCTTCAAGGAATGGAGAATCCAAACAGATTCATAAGTTCTCATGTTATTCTTGTGGTTTAGAGGGCCACACAGCACGTTTTTGCTCTTCCAAGGCTCCACAAAGGGGTAAATTAAACCCAACGGCTCTGGGCAACGTCATTACAACCACTGAACCTAAAAAGGAGGATGCATCTACCGTTCTAACTGCTAAAATAAATGTTCCTGTTGAAGGCGCAGCTAATGTGATGGAACTCGAAACTGTACAGGTAAAACTTTGGCCACGAACAATGACGGGAATTATAGATTCTGGAGCGCAGATTTCAGTGATCTGTGAAGACTTCACCTCAAGAATAAAATATGAGGGAGAAGATTATATCGAGATTTCTTCAGCATTCGGGGAGAGGGAAAATACACCACTGAGAATTTTTGAAATGAATATTGACGACGGAGTACATGGACCGGTGCCAGCGACATGCGCAGTTTCAAAGAAGTTGGTGAGTGACCCACTGCTAAGTACCGCCACTTTCGAAGCTTTGAAGGAAAAAATACAGATGCATAAATTCGAATCAAAACTCGACTGCTACGGCACAGTGAAGGAGGAATTGGAAGTTCCTTCTGGGGATACAGAAGCTTCTATCGAACTAATCTCAACCTAGTTTGATCGGGATGGCTCAACTCAAGTTGGCGAGGAGACCAGAACCTCATTCATTGAGTCACAAATGCCGGACCCCACTTTATCGGATGCTTGGGAGATAGCTAGGACGGAAGGGAACGCATATGCGATTAAGGATGGAGTTTTGACCCATTCTGAATATATATGCGGAGAAAATGTGAAGCAGGTAGCATTGCCGAAATGCAAGAGAGATAAAGTTCTTAAAG